TTGCCTTCCACGAGCTACTTTGTCATCCTGTACTTCTGTTTCAGCATCCATAAAATGGGCTAATGGTACCTTCCTCGTAGCATTATGAGAGGAGTGAAAGAATAAGAACATAAAAAAGTAAAAGCACAGTTTGTTAAGGCTTACTATACCAGTTTAAATTGGATTATGGAAACACATTTATAGCCTATCTTTTAATCACAGTAGCTATTCAGATTTGGAATCACTGATGTGGAAACTGGACTGCAAAAAGCATTCACCTGAGGAGATTTTATTGTAAGTTCTAGTTCCTATTTCCAAAGATTTAAGAAAAAAATCTCAGGAGATTTCAATGGTACAGCTATAGCTGAGATTCAGTGATTTAGATTTGACTTTGTTAAGCCAATTTATATATGCTGAGATAGGCTTGTGACTTGCTGAATATTGCGAGAGTTCTGGGCTTATATTGGTGGTAAGCGTTTCCATTTATTTTCAGAGATTGTTTGCTAATCAATGCCAGGTGTGTGAGTGAGTGAGTGAGTGTGTGTGTGTGTGTGTGAGTGTGTGTGTGTGTGTGTGGTTTCCATTATCTGTAGCTATGAATTCATGGTCTTACTGGGAATTAAAAAAGAGTCATACCAAACCTCAGCCGTTACTACAGTACAGAAAACCAAAACAAAAACAACTCACCTTACACTTCCTTTATAAGTTTGTATTTCCACATTTGTAGGGCAAGGACTAAAATAACTTTTTAAAGTGAGTTTTGTCAAATGAATATGATTAAAAATTAGGATTCTGTGCCTCAACAAAGAAAATCAGACTAATACAAAATGGAATGGGATGTTAAAGATGCTCTTGACTAACGACTGGAGTTTCAGTGGTGTTTTGCCCCTACCCAATGTACAGCTCAGTCCTCAGCCCCTTTGGATCTATGCTGTCTCCAGCTGACATGTAAAGAGGGACAAGGGGACTCTGTGGTGTCCAGTGTTCCTACTGACTCTCATGTTTTGTAGTAATCATGGTTTTCTCTTCTGACATTCCCTGTATCTTATCAACATCAATCAAGTTTGGGCTTAAAATTGTTCAGAAGAACCAATAACAAAGCTACGCCAACATGCATTTTTAGCCACATGTTTACTGTCTTCCTATGTGTTTATCGAGTATGTGTCATTGCCCTAGGACACTGTCCTAAGTACAAGGCACTGCACAGAACCAGAATGAGTAATGCGTCTTTTTTCACGTGGAGTTGATGTTTCCCAGAAGAGTCCAGTAGCCTGTGTTATACAACATGGAGCTGTGTGAATTCTGCACCATTTTGCATTTGCATGCTCACAGATGTAACAGAGGGAAAATAAGTAGAAGAAAGGACTGGAAATTTGACAGAGATGAAGCTTTTTAAATCAGAGTCTCACAGAGAGGAAGATTCTAATAAGTCACCCTTCCACCATGTGACTAAAACCCAGTTACTTGTTTAATGTAATTTGTCTCCAGACTTCATTATTTATGGCACATTTTTGACTACTAAATATGTGGCATATTAAGGAGTGGGATAAATCTACATCATTACATGACTTCTTGATAAGTCATTTGCAGAAATCAACAAACTACAGTATTCATGTGAAATCTGCCACATCCATTCTAATCTTTTAAATAAAGTTTTGATGATCAAATATCATCTATAGCTGCTTTAACTCTAACATGGCAGAGCTGAAGACTTTCAGTCCTATATTCCCCAAAGCCTACGATATTTACAACCTTGATAGAAAAAGTTTCTGACCCCTGCTCTTTAGTAGAGTCGCTATGTGAGAACCAGCCCTGGCTGTTCAAACTTGAGGGCTGTGAGGGCCACAGAGGGCCTTACTTCTTCCCTATCAACTGCCAGACATTGTGCCAGGTTCTTTCACCTGACAGAAAAACCTATCTGTATGATCCACTCATTAACTTGCTGATAGACATCACTTTAGTAATATGCAGGTTTTAAAAATTTACACATTAGTCAACATTTTTGGCCACTCCCTTTTGATGACTTGCTATGCCAGCTAGCTGGAGAAACCAGCCCAGCGATATTCAGTCCATGCTTCATACCAGTACCATACCATACCACTCCATACCATACCATACCATACCATACCATGCCATGCCATAGCATGCCATACCATACCATACCATACCATACCATACCATACCATACCATACCAAGTACTCCTGCTCACACACCCCTAAGAGAAATTTGAAAACCCGTTGGCACTCTCTCACACATTTCTTCCATCAACAACTAAAACTGGTCCTATATTTAAATAGAAGACACAGATACAATTTCTAGACCTTCCTGAATTAGGACATTTTAAGATAAAATGGTTACATCTCTATCTAGATCCAAAGCAATCAAAATGCTACAACCATTGTATAGCACTCTCATTTTTGCAGTGGGTGCTTGGAATCAACCCCAATACCCTGCAAAGCAAACACCTTCGTTCCCTGGCTGCCTGGAGGGTGCTGCCACACATAAGTTTCTCCACAAGAATTGATTTTGAGGGAAGGGGTCACCCTTAACTAAAGATTACAGCTGATACCCTGTGGCTGTGTGCTGTGGAAACAAAGAGACCTGGCCTCCTTCCTGCATTTGGCCCTCCCAGCCCTGGGCCATTCTGGGATGCGCAGCAGCCTGTCTAGCAACTAATCTGCAGTCATTCTTTCCCTCAGCCCCACACCACCCCAGGCCACCCCAGGAAAATTCCTGCGTGCACACTTTGGCTGGGTCTCCATCTTCCAAAGCGTGTGACTAAGCTCTTCTTCAGCATTAGAAAATCTCATGTTAATTTTTCCCTAAACCTCCATTTCCACTCTGCTTTGCCCACATAATTTTTGCTACCGTCGTATTTTTTAATAGTTCGAAGCCTCTTATTGATCACCCTGTCATCCTTTCTTGCCACGAAGTTACTATATGCATTAAAATTTCATTTTAAAAAATGCCTATGACCATAAGGCTTTATGTGCTAAAATGTCCTCTGGACTGAGTGATCTTTGCAATTACCAGAAATGCATATTTGATCATGATGACATAAATACATTATAAATTTTGATAAATATTGTACATAAAAAATAAAAGTGGAAGTGCATTTCTGGAGATAATGGTTTCTATTTTTAATTAGTGTGTATATATGTGAGCAAACATTTACTGCTAGAACGAAAGTTCTATTCCATTCTGAGCTTTATTTTTATAGATATAAAACTATGGTTCTACAGAAATCATATAAATCAGAACAGGGGAAGGAAGGACTTCTCCTCTGGTGTAGCAGGGCTCTTTTTGAACTTCTTCTGAAGAGTTTACTAAAAATCATAGACTGATAAAATGCAAAAAAAAAAAAAAAAAAAGACTTTAATGGCTTATGAGCTGATGATGCAATCAGATCCTCATTTAGTTTTGTTGAAAACAAAGCACTGGAGATGCCTTGACTTCCAGAAGGATTTGTCATCCAGTAATTAAAGTTATTCCTTTTCTCAACCCTTATTACCTGGTTCAAATTGTTCTTTTCTCTCATTCGTACCATCGCGGGGACCTCAGGGACACAGGAAAGTTGGCAAGTGAATGACGGCGTGGGCTCTGCCATGAATGCAGGAGGGGTGTTTACTGACAACAGGGAAGGCCTTTTCCACCAGACAGCTCTGAAGCCCACTTCCAAACAAAGTGATTTGGAGGTGGGCACTTCCAACTAGCCCTTCCAGAGAGTCCCACAGAAAGCTGAATCTTCCCTCCTGAGCACATCACACGAGTTGGAAGCTCTCTGCGTCATGTTTGTACCTAACTCGGGAAGATTTCTCCCATCATGTTGCAGTCCTCGGCACAGACTCGAATTATAAGTAGACATTTAATAAAGACTAGGAAACACTTGAAAAGGAGACACACTTTGGCACCAGCTTATCTGCCCTGGGAACCCTCTTGCTATTTCATTTTCCCCAGTAAAAAGCAGCATTCCCAAACAGTCCAGATTTTCTGGAAGGAATTACAAAGTCTCATGCATTCTCAAATACTCAGCCTTGTATCTCAGAGTGAGCTCCCAGCTATTTCAAAGAGCATAGCTTTTCTGTCACTGGGCATGATGTTAAAAGGAAGAATGAAAGGAATAATGAACAAAGGGAAAAAAGGAGGAGTGAGTTTGAGAGTGGCTTTTGAAGAGTTTTGGCTGTATTTATTCCCCTTTCTCCTGTACCTCTTCTGTTAGCCATGGTGACAGCAAATTTTTTTTTAAAGAAAATGACACACTTGAATGGAGCAGAAGCCCTGGAGGAAATATTACCCAAGGTCACAAGCGGTCTCTTCTGGGCTGTCCTTGAGCCTGGCAGAAAATTTCACTCACTAGATGAATCTCCCTGGTGGCTTCCTTTTCTTTGTTCAAACAATCATTTTCCAAGGGCAATAATTGTGGCAATATTATTGATCATAGAAAGGTTAAGGAACTCATCTATACTTGAAATTTCCACACAGTAGTTGATAAAACCGTAGGAAAGTTTTAACCCAAGAAATTCAAGTAGAATCCTCATTCTTCTGCATTTCCTTTGGCTATTTTTTTTCTTGAAGTGTTTAAATAACCTCTGTTTCTTTGCTCCACTTTCACAAGTACCAGAGATGAATGAGATTTTATTTCTTCTACCAGTAAACAATAAACAAGTAGCGATTCACACATTATCTTAATATCTCCGATATCTCTTCTTAAAAGTCATATACGTGATTATTTTAAAGAAGTTCAAATTTGGAATTGGAAGACAACATTGACTGTGGTCCATTTAAGCGCACTGAACTAATTATCTATAAAATAGTGGTAATAACCTTTCTGTATGATATTATCCTATGTATGTGAGAGATGTATATGAATGCAGGCAGTATAAATACATAACAAATCAAAATGTAAGCCCAGTAAAATTAATTCTCCTTTTGTCTGTTTTATAATGTAACTTTTGTAAGAAGGGAACACAAAAGATTTTACAAGCTTAGTCTTGCCAAAAAAAGCAATTCACACGTCATATCTGTAAACAAATTATTTATTTATTAATTTAATAATGAAGAAAATAGAAAAAACAGCTTGGCTGATCATACTAGCAATTTTATAGGCATAGTATTTGTAGAGAAAAAATCAAAACATCAAACACTGAATTTCACAGTTAAACCCACATGCAGATTGTTGGATGATGTTACAAGACTTTTTGATGAAATGCGTTAAATATAAAAATAATTCAATGCAATTTTCATTTAGCACACTGTATGAAAATCACTTTTTAATGTGATTAACAAGTTTACCATCTTTCTCTTAAAGTGCCATGTTTTCAAAGTGCTCTGTAACATTAGGATTGAAGCAAAGGAACAAATACTGTAATGCTCCATAGTAATACAGCCCCCAAATAAATGAAATTAGATGTTAAGTAGATATAATCCACTTATAGAACAAGACAAATGAAAGAGACCCTCGATGTACAGTGAATAATACTTCAAGACAGAATGGTTGGAGGTACTTTTGCATATACACTCTAATACAAGCATAACATAAATGAGCATATGGTTAAATTGTCTGTTTTGTAATGATTACCATTTCCTAGAGACAGTAAAAGGGAAATTAAGAAAGAGAAAAGAGATACAGAAAAAAGAGAGAAGACAAAGAGAGGAAAATAAAATTCACAATTCTTCAACAATTCATTTGACTAATCCTCAGTACCACCAATAGTCCCTGAGAGCATCTTCCAGACTTTGGTATACATCAGAATTACTGCTAGGTCTTGTGAAATCACAGGCTGTTAGACCCTTCCAGTTTCTAATTTCACAGGTATGAGAAGAAGAAACCAGAAACAATTTCTGGTAGATACTGATAATCGTCATTAAATGACCACTCCAACATCTGGTCCATGCCTAGTCCTGTGTGTTTTTTGAATATTCAGTGTCTACATCATTGATTAAGATGAAAAACACTTGTAACAATGAGATGCCTAGCTCTCACTCACATAGGAGAATAGATAAGAATATAGGAGAGACAGCATGGATTGTATGAAGACTTTGGAAGTGGTTCTCAATTTTGGCTACTTTGCAGAATGAAGTGAAATGTGTGTGTGTGTGTGTGTGTGTGTGTGTGTGTGTGTGTACAAAAGAATCAAAAAAATATTTAATGTTTTCATTTAAAATGTATTACAGTAAAAGACACATTGATATTTATCCCCCTCAAAATGCTCCCTGTCGCTTCAAATATACTTATCACATCATTCTTGGGATTCTCAGAAGCTGTTCTAGAATCTTCTTTCGTGACTGTATTTAGTTGGGCTGCCACAGACACCTTGAGGTCCTGAATTGACTCAAAATGGTAACCTTTCATGGTCATTTTGACTTTTGGGGGAACCAGAAGTTGCGTGAAACCCAACCCCATGAATCAGATAGATGAAGACAAGCGGCAGTGTCTTTGCAAGCCTGCCTTTCTGCTGTATAGCACTCCAGCAGCACATTCACCATATGTTTGAATGCACCTCACAAAAACGCAAAGAGACTTCCAGAACTGCTTCCATAAGTAGCGAGACAGATGGAGACTGTTGGAAACCCTGGAGATACCATGGCGAGACAGAGCAGTGGATCAGAGCAGAGAACCTGGTGGGCTACACTGGCTGGTTTGATTCTATAGTTATTGCAGACTATACCACTTTAGTCAAGAAACATAACTCTTCTCACCAAGTTGTTCTTCCTGGTATATCCAGAATGAGATTGCCTAAGGAACACAGAAAGTACTACTTTAACCAATCCAAGAACCAGGGGCTGGGCGAAGTAGGCAGCAACTTCTCAGCTCCAATAAAATAAAGAGGTAGGATCTTGCAACAAACCAAAACCCCCAAAGCTAAGTTTACCTGAAAGACAGCTCTGAGAAGTGGTCATTTCTGTAAGGTTCTCAATTCTAGCAATAATGCTACTCTCCACAGGCAATTTACAAGCATCATCTATGAGTTAAACTAAAATACGTATAAAATGAGAAGAAACTGAAACAAACCCAATCCCAGACATCCAGCTCACCAAAGGCAAACCCAGGGGTGGTGAGGAGGAACAATCTGAAGGCCACCCACTTGGCTTCTCTGAAGTAATAACAACAAAGCAAATGAACAAGGCTCTAGAAAAAATCAAATCAAGAACTATTTCTCAGATCTCCAGATATGGTAACCATAATGAAAGACATGCTTAGTGACATGCTTAGCTGTCTCTAGAGCAGAGACAGATTTTTTTAAAAGTAGTAAGAATGATGGAACAACTTTTTGTGATGCAAGGGGGAGTATTTCGAGAGGAATTAATGGAAATACAATTTTTTAAAATTTAGGCACTCATATATTTTGAGATATATAGATATATATGCATATATATATATGTGCATATGTACGTATTGTTCATCTAAAACTAATGATCCATCTAAAGGATTCATCTAAAACTAATGAAGTCTGAAGTTCAGGGGTGCAGTCCAGGGTTAAGTCATTTATGAAAGTGTCCAAGGAAAGGCGAGAGTGTAGACTGGCTGGAGAACTGCTACTTCTGAACAATTCCTTTCACTACCTCTTTGGAGTAAAGATATGCCCTGTGGGTCACAGTTATGTAGAGAACTTCAAGGAAATCAAAAGCCCTAGAGCCACTCTGATGCTCATCTAAAAACTAATACCAGGGGTAATTTAGAAAGCAGTGTGGCTGTTGATTTATTATGGACTACAGGGTTCGCTCACAAGTTTGAAATAACTGAATTTAGGCAGCTGAGCTGCATACTCACCCAAGTTTCTTTTCCACTCAGTGACATCAACTAGAGTCTCTGGGGTGTTGGCATGTGTGGCTAGGGGCTACAACTACCAAGTGTAATTATTACATTTATTCCACTTATTTAAATTATTTACTACTTCGATTTAATATGACTTGCCCCATAAATAAGGCTCCCAGGGACAAAGCACTGTATGTGGTTCTTTCACTAGTCTACCTGAGATAGAAACACATACAAAACAAAGGGCATTTTGAAATAAGGTTTCCATGGTAAATTACTGCTCTGGAATACATAGAATGAATATTTTCATGTTTAAGTAAATATGCATGCAATGCAGTCCTTTTCTGAAAGGACCTAGAGGTTTGAGCAATCTCTATTTTATTTTTCAATTCATAAGTTTTATTAGTAAAGCTAAGATGTATAGTAATTATATTCATCTTGGGGAACTGGTTCATATGCATATTGTATCTTGATCCTTTTTCATTTTAAATTTATTTTTTCTCAGTTTTTTATTACTGCATATTTTGTGATATGTAGTAAATACATTCATCAAGGGAAACCATCTGAGATCAGCATAGTGACTTTCAAAAGAAGAAGAAGATAAAATCTAACATCCTACTGAGATCCTTGGGTAGAAATTTCTCCAGGCTTTATGTCTTCCGGAAAACACTTGTAAAATATCCTGAAAAATAATAAAACGACGAGTAGTACTATGGATATAAACATTCAAAATAGCAGACTACTGAGTGCTTTCTGTTTCTTAGAAAGTAGATTGTAATGCTAATTAGGATGTGAGGATGCAAAGGCATCAATAAAACACTAGATACGCAAAACGAAGTTGTGGTCTTTAGTTCTACTTTCAGTATTTATGTAGCTAAGCAGTACATACTAGAAAAAATACGTATTTAGGCCTTATATGTAAAACTCACACACACCACACACACTGAGCCTTATAATACTATAGAAATAAAGGCATAGAGCCCATTTAAAGGCCAGTGATCACTAATAACCATTGCTCTTGCCTTTAAAATGGTAAAGAATTCTGGAATCCTAGCAAAGAGTTTGATCCTTTGCTTCCGTGGTCTGTATCTTGTGGCACAGTCTCTGTATTTTTGTCTTTGAGACCTTGTCAGGGACCCATAGAACTCACTCCTTCAGGGAGATTATTTGCAAAGATGAGGCCTGATTTTAGAGTCACAAAGGAATCTACTTGGGTTCCTATGCTTCCTTCGGTCTCTCCTCCATTTCCCCAAAGCCTGAGACCAAGTGCCACAGGACTGAAGCCCGTGTGCACATGTGTGTGCAATGGACAGCACAGAAAGGGACATGCCAGCCCCGAGGAGAGGAGACCTACGCCAGGGCTTTCATTCAATCCTGCACACAGACCAGACTCAAACTCACCATCTGCTACGGAATCTCTTAGTCCCTCCTGCTGTTCAGGGAGCATCTGCACTGTCACCATGTCTTTGCACCATATGCTCTTGCTTCTCTCGGGTTCCAGACAAATCAGACTTCACAGGAAGCAAGGCCACCACCTCCGGACTCCCCCTGCTGGGCTCTGACGCTCTGTCTTGTGATGACTCTTCAGATACCCCTGTCACCTGCCCAGGGTCACCACCTCCTGGCCCTGCCATGGCTTGTGCTGACCTTGCACGTTGAGTGGCCTCTGCTTCTCCTCCCTCTCTGTCCTGTTCTAGTCTCCTGGTCTCCCTTGCCCCCTTGGAAGGTTCTGGAAGCACTCTAGCCCCAGCCTTTTCTGTGGAGGCCACTGTCACTTCCTGCCTGCTCAATGTGGTCTCCTCTGCCACCACAGTCTCCTCAGCTGCTGTTTCCCCTAGCCCCTCACTCCCCTTGAGCCTGGTTTCCTCCTCAGCAGCATCTGAAGAGGAGGTAGCTGTATTTGCTACTGTTTTCCCCTCGGCTGTCTTCAGATCTGCCATCACCTCCTTCCTCCCTACAGCTGTCCCTGCCTCTCTCTTTTGCTCCTCAGCATTCACTGTTCTTTCTCCTGTGGCCTCATTCCTCTCTGGGCTGCAGTCCTCTATCTCTCCTGTCTCCAGCCAGGACTTCCGATCTCCATCCTCCTCAAAGTCCTCCCCCTCTGCTTCCACATTGAACTTTTTTGCCATCCTGCCACCTCCCTCCGGCACCAGCTCGTGGGTCACCACCATGGCCTGTGTTCCTTCTGGCCCCTGCTGAGACCCTTCCTCATCCCCTCTGGCCAGTCCAGCAAGGCCACCATGATCCAAGGCTGTGCACTCCTCAGCCCATCCTATGTCTGGGATGATCCGCTCAGGGACCTTCCTCTCATCCAGGGACTCATTGCCAGGGCCCTCTGATGTCCCCTGTCCTCTATAGCCAGCCCCTTCCCCCTGCTTGGAAGGAGCCACGGGCTCCTGGCCTTGCTGCTCTGTGTCTCTGGCTTCCCTCAGTCCTTCTTCTCCTTCTTCTTCCTTCAGCACTGTTTCTTTTCCAGGTGTCTTTTCAAATTCAGTTGTTGCGTCCAACAAACTAACCACTTTTCCTGCAGGAGCATCTTCCAGAAGCTCTGTACCTTCATTTGATTCAGTTGCCTCTGTGGGTTCTACATCTTCAGCATCAGATTCCTTTTCGTTTCTGAGTGCATTTGCCAGCTCCTCGGATCTTGTGTCCTTCATTGTTTCCCTCTTTTCCTCTTTAAGTTTTTGCTCTTCCTTTAATGTGTCTTCATCCTTCTGTGCGTCTGCCCACGTCACCACCTTTTTCTCAGACTCAGTTTCCCTCAGTGATGCTGTGGGCCTCTCACCTTTCCTCCTGTCTTTTGCTACACCTAATTGCTCAGGTAACACATCTTCCTTGTCATCTTCCCTATTAGGTACCAGCTCAGTCACTGTCTCCTCCCTCTTGATGGTTTCCTTGGGAAGATCCACAGAGCTGCCGTCGGAAGCCCGCATGGGACCTGCCTCCATCTCGGCCTCTTCTGTTGAGAAGCTTAAGGGTGTTTCTGCTTCCAGAACTTTCCTCCCCTCTTTGTCTGACTCCACTTTCCCCAGTGTTTCCTGTTCTGCCTCATCCTCTTTCAAGGATTCTGTGTCTTCCACAGGGGCCATGTCCTCCAGCTCTGTGGGTGTTTTCTCTACACTTCCATCCACATCTGGCCTTTCGAGTTCAGTCTTGCTCACAGCCACCTCTTTGTCAGCCTCTCCCATCTCAGGAATCCCTGACTCTCTCAAGATCACTTCCTCCTGAGGATGCTGGGAGCTCTGTACTGTGCTGTCTGGAAGCACTGTCTTCTCTGAGCCCTGCTCCTCTGTGGGAGAAGCTTCATTTTCTGTCTGCCTCAGCACCTGATCTTCAGCAGTGCCCTCTCCACTCAGACTTGCAGAGTCTCTCGCTTCTGCTTTTCCTGTGTGATCTAACTCCTCTCTCCTCAGCCTTCCATCCTCTCCCGCATCTGTCTCTGCCTCACTTGCCAGGTCCACAGGGATCTCTCTTGCCACCAGTAATTGTTCAGCTGATACTGGCTGCTCTGCTGTTGGCTTCCACTCCCCCCAGGGAAATTCATTAGCCCCTGCTTTCTCCTGATGGACTGCAACCTTTTCATCTTCCATTAGGTCAGCATCCTGGTATTGGGAACCTGTATCAGCTTCTGTTTCTGCTTTCTCCAGAGCATGTGCTTCTTGTGTAATTTGCTTGGATTCCTTGTTTGAGTTGAGCACTGCCCTTTCCTCCATCACTAAGTTCCTAATTGATGCTACAAAAATAAAATGAAAAGACAAGGTTACTTCAATCAAAACAAAGGAGATGTTACATATAATTTTATGTAATATTTACATCACAATGGATTGACATGCTATCAAGGAGGCATGCATATTATGTATGAAACAATGCAAACTTGGTTCTAAGGTGCCACTAACTATAATAGTCTCCATGATTTAATTAGGGCCTTTCATTATGAAAACAAAAGCTTTCACATTTGATGAATGTATTGCTATTATACATTAATATTAAGGTAGGCATCAGAAAGAATAGAAGTAAGCAAGTGAAAACTCTCCATTCCTGATGCTTTAAAATCAATAAATTCTCTCTCCCTCTCTTTTCTGTCTCTTTCTCTTTCCATATACTTACACACATACATACATACATCCTAACATCCTCCTTTCTCTTGAAATACAATCCTAACAGAAAAATGCAATAAAATAATATTCAATTTTCTTTAAAGCCATCATTTCCTATTGCACCATGACATGACTGTTTTCTAACTATATTTCTGCTGATACTCATGTGAACATACAACAACACAATCATATCACAGAGAGGGTAATTGAATCATATATCACACCCACATTTTAAAGCTACTATATCTTTATTTAGTCATCAAAAAACTTTGAAGCTCAAAGAAAGACTCTTTACTAAAGACACCAATTTGTATTACAGGTCAGGATACCTACCATCGACATTAAGAAATGGATTTGCCTTTGGCAAAATAGGATCACAGAGGAAGACAGACTTTGTAGTCTGGGATAATTTTCAACATGAATGACCTTCTTGAAGTATTTAATAATGCTCATCAATGATTTTCTGGCAAATCCAAGTCTACTACATATCACCTATATAGGTTAGTACATTTTTTAAGAGGCTTGAAATTAATTTCTTATTATTTAATGAAAACATATATTCTTGAATGATCCATGTAATCTAAGGAAATGTGTATCATGCTTCTTACTCAGTTTTCCACCATAGAATAATAGGGCGGTAAAAGATTCCAAAATGCTCACCCTTACAATTATATTGCTCTAATCTCTTTCATTTACAAAAGACATTGGGCTATATATTATAAAATAAACTATCATTCCACGGTGTCAACCTTTGAATTATGTAAACTCGTGAAGTAAGTGTCTTCCTCATCTCTTCTTACCAGTGTGCTTTGTTGGTTAGTTATCTTATCTGCAATACATCACTGACAATGTCAGAGGCATCTCGGCCCTGTTCTTCTGTAGTCCTAAGACCCCATCCAGGACTGTTTCCACTCTATTACTTCCCTAAGGCAAATGTGACTACCCTTAGTTGGATTCTGAGTCTCTTGCCAATCAGTATGATAAAGCATTTTAAGGTAAGGTGATATGTCACAGCCAATGTGACATTTTGCTTTAAGAATGTATTTGCAAGGTAACTTTTATTGTCTTCTTTCAAAGGAGTAAAACAGAAAATTCAGCTCTATCATTGGGGCTGAGGTTCACTTTTTTTAGGTGGGCCTCTGACTATATCACAGAGATTATTTCCTAAATTATATCTAAAAGCTCCCAAAAAGAGATGTAGACTCTAACTGCTCAGAGTAACTATGGCAAATTCATACAGTGCATTTTATTTCACTACAGATTAATGCTGAATTCAGAACCAATTACATTGAAACAAGAAACAACGTGTCCATTGTCTCTAATAGTCTATCTTGTTTCTCTCCAAATTCCCGCATGAAAGGATTATTAAAAAGTCAGTTATGAAAATCACTTCAATAAGGTCCTCTGCTTTGCGAAGATGTCTTCCAAATTTATGGATTAATTAAAGAATATTCAGAAATGTCAGGGTATGAAATGGCTTAGTCATCATGTAATAATATACTGTCTAAATTCTGGGAAAGAGTACTCACAGCACCCGCTGAGCTATTCTATGAACACACGCACGCGCACACACACACACACACACACACACACACACACACACACATGCATACACACACATTATATGGAAGCTGGACAGGACATTCCAGAAGCAAGGGAATAAATGTGATTGAAGGTTTTCTTAGAAATACAGTACAAAAAGGTGACATATGGCTCTTGATAATAACCTCATAAGATCTTTCATTCAAACCTTACTTGAAATAAATATTTGAGAGCAAGCAGTATTCACAAGTGAGAAACCTGATTTGGTGGGAAAAGTGTATACTTAGGTGTCAACTCTGCCACTTATGCAGCATGTACCCTTGGGAAATCACCCCTGTCCAGTCTTCCATTTCCTTATCTGTAAAATGGGAAGAGTCATTCACTCGCAGAATTCTTGTGATGGCAAATAAGACAGTTCATGTAAAATCCTCAATGCCCTGCCTGGCATTAGAAAACTAGCGAACTTTCCATCCTCTCGCCCTACAGCTTGCCATCATTGAGACTTTCTAGTTTGAATTAGATTGGATCCATTGTGACTATTCCAGCTGTTCTAAAAAATAAATGTGTGGGGAGCAGGACTAGAATGCTTCTGGTGAAATGTTCACTGTGAAAACTTAGGGTCCCCCTCCTGTAACTCAGCCCATTGCTTCCTTAAGTGTCATCTGGCCTTATGCTGCCTAGTAAGAAGTGGAGTTGGTTTTGGGTCCTCTACTATTATCCATGAAGCCTTGGCTGGCTAAGTTATTCACTTAAAATAGGATAAAATCTCAAATGTCTCTTGGCTCTTACTGACATGAAACATTGGAAGTGGCAATAATAGTCAGACATTGCATGTGTTTATTCATTAATAAGATCATGCAATGAAAAATTGGCCACACACGTACTCAGACATACTTTCACATCAGAACATTTTTAAGAATTCATCTGCTACATGTGAAAAAGCCTGATTTCAAGGACATGAAAAGTTTGCCCAAATACACATGAGTCACGGTCTGTGGAACCCATCTCTAATTGGCAGCCTTCCAGATGGAATACCATCATCAAAAGCCAAGTCCTATGCTGATGGCAGAGAATCCTTTCCTAATTAAAAGAAGAATGAGAGGTTCAATGAATCATTGTGAGGTACAATGTGTCTCCGCTCCTGGTGTCTCCAGCTGGGTCAGAAATGGCAAATCCACCTCGCTCGCCCACGAACTGGGAGCTGTGAATTAAGGCAGATCTGAAAAATCCCCACCAGAGATTGAGAAGTCAGGGTCCTTTTTTTCATCATAGGCACCGAGATATTGAAAAAATAATAAAATTCATAACTGATGTCAGTTTCCACGCTCCCTTTAGGCCTCTCTGCTACCTCCTGCCATCGTGTTCGTTAGATGAAAAGTGGAACAAAATGGGGACGGGAGGAAGACATGAGGACAGCAAGATGAAAGATGGAAATGGGCTGTCTTTTGCAGAGCATTTCTGAAGGCAGTAAGGCGCCCTCACCTCCACTGGCATCAATCTCCAGCTTGCTCGTGGGCATCCCTCCCTGTCATCTGGGCTAATGCCAGACTCGGCATCATAGTGGCCGTGGCAGCCAGGTGCCAAGGTTTCGCTTATTATCTGTCCAACTGATTGGAGATCATGCAAAGTATCAAAAGGTACAAAAACAGGTCATGGGACGTCACTGAGCTATCTCACATCATTCAAGCAAGTGGGGTCCATTTAAATGCATTCACATTCATCTTGTTTCAAAATCCGTGAAGATTAAACAACTCCTCTACATAATTTCACAAAGAAAACCCCAGATACAGAGGACAATGGTGATGTAAAGAGATACATCCAAAGAAACACTTGTGTTAAAAGACGAGTGGCAGAAGCGGTGACAGTTTGCCAAATGCACACACAATGAAATGATTGAAAAAGCAGTTTAGTTGCTTTTCACTTTGTAGAAACGTATGTTGTGGCTTTTACGACACCAATCATCACTACACTGTGCATGTTTCATCCACTAATAGATTTAGTGATTTGACCCCAGTCTCACTCCACATGGACAAAAGCAAGAAAAGAAAAAAAAAACAATACATGATTCCTTATACATTTGACAGTAGAAGCTGATGCATGAATTCCTGTTATCTGTAGTTGATTACTTGCACGGACTTCAGGATCTTTTATTTAAGCCCCAAATTCTTATACCAACTATCAGCCTGGATAAGTTCTTTTGATTTATATCTAAGTCTCAGTTTACTTGTCTGTCAAAAAAAGACAACTCAGTGGTTATTGACAGGATTAAGTGAAGGTAGGTACCATCCAGAGGAGTGATGTTGAACCTTTTAGAGATTGAGTGCCCAAACAGCAGCCCAAAATCCACTTATTTATCGCAAGGTGCCAATTCTGCAATTAAACCTGGATATTGGATGCTCCAGCCGCTGGGGAGATGTGGGCGTCACCTGGCTCATGTGCCAACAGAAAGGGCTCTGCATTCCACAGGTTCTCCATCACTTGTCTGGAGCATTGCTGTATCCAACCTGTTAGCAAATTTCGTGCCCTTAAACAATGGTACTAATGATGAGAGGCATTTTTGTTTTAAGTGTTACCATCCAGTGTGGTATGATCTAGGCAAAACTGTAAAGTCAATTAAGTTTGCTTTTAGCTCCTAGCACTTTCCTACCTTCAAGCTTGCTTTTCATCTGATGACTCAAGGCTTGAAATATCTCTGACACTTAATGAGATGCTTCTTTCTAGTTAGCAAAAGCTGCCTTGATAGCACTAGACCTAGATCTGCCTTCTGAGATGAAACACCGTCTCCAAAATTTCTGTCCTTTTTCCCTACGTTGCTTTCTCTTTCCCTGCACATCTTCCTTCCTCCTTTGTTGTGTTCTTTTTTCCTGCCTTTGTCCTCCTTTAACATTCTGATACAGCTAATCTACCAGAGCTCGAAAATTTTCTCTTGCTTAGAGTGAATTACTAAGGGATGATCATTTGTTGGTTCCTCTGTGTTCAGAAACAAGCAGTGAGAGATCTGCCTCCTGGGGGTTTCACAGGAAAATGGTAGCTTAAGTATATTAACCTTACCAAGAAAAACGTGGAAACTGCAGAGGAGCATCACATAGTTCAA